GTGACGTCACCGCTGGTGACGTGCGTTGCCTAGCGGCCAGGATGCTAGGCCTCGGCTAACATCGGCTCGCTTCGGCTTCGCTCGGCGCATCACGGCTGGGGGGGGAGGGGCGTCATCCATAGCTCAGCACGTCACAATATTATAATATGATTTATTAACAGGTATCAAGTCCCACCCCACTAGCAATGAAAATTATATTAAAATATGATTTATTAACAGGTATCACGGGAAAGGTGCTGCTTATACATGTGGTGTGTCTGATACAAAGTCTGACGGCTGAAGAACTCATCTGCGATCCTACGAAAATCGTATTCAAAGGCTTCAACGTAGACCAGGTGAAAGAAAACTAGATGAGTAGCTAGCCATGTAGCTATGTAGCTAACTCCAGGGAGCAGAATATTTCTGGAGAAGCTGAAGTTTGTTTAGATAATCAAGAAATTTCCTGCATTTTATGGAAGTGGGTGAGCTCAGTTCCATGTTCCCAAGAGCCACTAGGAGGTACCAGTAAAATTAACTCACTGTATGGGAACCATCTCTCTTCCCACTCTCCTTCCAAATCTCCTCTCTGACTGATCTGTTTTCTCGGGGAATATAAAAGTACCGACAAGCCCTTATAATATGCAGAAAATGGAGCAGCGGTGGTAAATAATAATGAGTACTGACACAAAAAATAAAATACAGGTTCCGTGGCTTTTAGTCCGCAAGCGAACTATACCGACCGAGCTACCGCCACTTGTCGGCGAAGTTAGTGCACAACTTTAGCGGATAGGGTGTGTTGCGTGGTCAGCGAAACGGATCCCCACGGCCATTAATTTCGATTTTCTAGACCTGAGTGTGTTGACATATACTCTCATTATTAGCACCTGATTATAACGGTAATTAAGAATAATTGGGTGTGTGTTCGCAACGTACTAATTTCCTTGTCTCTGTTAAGAAGTTAAAATGTTCTCTTATTGTCTACACTGATTATGAAGCTTAGAAGGAAATGTGTGTGTGGAGGATTAGTCTAATGTGCCCATAGTTACAAGCATTAAGTACATGTATGGTACACGAAATAAACAATTTTCTATACTTCTGAACATTTTATTTTAGGATCCCCAGGGGAAAAGTTCAGGAATTACAGGTGACTACTCATCTTACAGTGTTAAATTAATCTGGTGCAAATTACTTTATTCTATCGAAGGGTTTAATTGCAATGCCTAATTGTAATCCATCAGTTTTAAGCCACATCGTAGGAGATCTTTATTTTTGTAGATATCTTACATTTCACTACAAATAAATAAAGTAAACACGAACAGAAATAAACCTGAAGATTTTTTTTTTCAATCATTGATATGCATTCCGTCAAAATGAGGCATGTAGCTTTAAAACGAGCAGTACTAGTATTCAGAGTTCCAGGCTACAGATCCAGAGATCGCGGGTTCGATTCCCGGCACTATCAGTTTCTCTTAGAAGTTGTGCATCTGGAACGGGGTAACACTTGTCTTGTAGCACTTCCATATGTGACCGTGGTTGGGCATGCTGCATTCCTCCTCTCGTTCTGTTTCCCTGGTAGCGCAGCCGCGCTGCTTGCAAATCAGTTGTTGACATATTCTGTTGTGTTTGGTCTACGTTCCGCACCGGTTTTCCCATTTTCCCAAGGTTTAGCACGTCTAGCTTTTCCACGTGCCGTTTCCTTGTGTGCTGTGAGAGATATCCACATGCCTACATATTTAAACGAAATATTGTTCTGTACAGGTGACTCTTGTTTTACGTACTGAAAGGGTCATAGTTGGGAGATAATAAAACTACAACATTCAGATGTCCTCTAGTGATATGTTATTCATACAAAGTGTCACGAAAGTACGCCATTTGGTTGACCCACTGTCACGGGGCACAGAAACCGGCGCGTGCACACGTACATGATAATAACTTAAGGCGATAGGTGACACGACAAAGTTATCTCTGTGTTTGTATCATTAAGCTCCATGCCAAGAAGGCGTATGGGCGAGTGTAAGTGCAGCTCCACCATTCTCGCCTTCGGCTCTTGATAGAAGTGAGTGGGTCGCTTCAACGGCGAGGAAACTGCCCCTGATTTCCAATTTAAGGGAGGCAGGGTGGGCTTCAGAGCTGATCTGAACTCCATGGAGAGTATAATAATCCCTTCACTTTTCAGGGAGTCGAACCTAGATTCCTCGACCGCCTCTCCTATAGCCTAGTCGCTATACTGACTAAGTCATCCCGCCTCCACCATAGATTCTGAAGTAAGTGAATTAGGTCAAGAAGGAACCTTAGGAAAATAGAGATTGTGATGTAGATTGTGGCCTGCTCTGAAGATGAAGTCAACAGGTTCTTCCGAAACGTTAATAAGCTCCTACAAGATTACACGGTGCCGTAACCCAGAAAAACTAAAATTTGACTCAACGTGACACCGCTGCTGCGCAGTGCGGCTTCTTTACACACAAATCAATCCCGTTCATATTTGAACCACCTTGTACAATAGATTTGGTTACTTTTACATTTATTTATCTATTTATTCATTTGCCACTTTGCTTATTGCAGTACTTGGGAGTGTGGCATGAAATCTACCATTATCCTCCAAAACACCAGGAGCGCTACTTGTGCTTCATTGACGATTATAAGAAGTCTCCTTCAGGCGACATAAACATAACCTCAACAGTCTATGACAAAACGTAAGTCATGTGGAGTTGAACTCTTGTAACCGACAGTCGTGCAGGTGGCAGTTCCAAGTCTTACAGCGACAAACTAAATAACAAATTTTCATGGATCAGAATCCTTGATTTCTTGATATTGGCTTGACTGATCAAGAAAGCGCCAGAATTTTATGGAATTTGAAGTTTAGTTGCAGAGTTCACCAGAGCTCGCCACTGACCCTATCCTGAGACAATCCAATCCACACGTTAAATTTTTAATATTGCCTTTCCATCTATGTTTAGATCGTCCAAGAAACATCTTCCCTTGCTCTGTTCCAACAACTTTCTGTGTATTCTGTGTTTTTCCCACCCATGGTACTGTACCAGCCTAAACTTCCTTGATTAAATTACGCTATAATATTACGTGAAACTTAAAGTAATTAAACACCTTACTATGTAATTATATCCGTTTTGCTGCTGCTCTGTTTCTCTCTTTCATATGCACAAATTCTTCTTGTCAATTTCTTTCCAAAAATCCTCATCTTATCTCTTTCCTTAGAGCCAGAAACCGTGTTGCATATTTTTATACTAGAGTCTACACTATATTTCTTGTTATATTCAAAATTGTGTAGATTAAGGGATGATTTTTATAGACTGATCTTCATAGAAAATGGTGCCTCTAGGACCTATTTGACGAATATGAGTTGAGAAGAAATTTATCTGACCACAGACATATTACACTCCCAGTATCAAATTCAGTACATATACTAGTAGGTTGACCAGTTTTGGGAACGAAATATTCGGATTTCTGGTTGACAGGAGAGGAAGAGTCAGAAAAGAGCCTGCGTTTTGCGCTGCAAGGGGAACTCATAAAAGCGTGTAAATCGTATCATTTGTCTAGGCTAAGGTTTCGGTGAGTAGTAGGAACAGACAGCAAGAAGCGCGCTCAGCCTCAAATGGCGTCCTGCATGCACCAAAATAAAGCACACCATTTCACTTTCACTTTACAAGTGCTTTCACTGTATGTCCATTTTACATGGGCTTACATGGACATGTTAGTGCCATTTATATTATTCAGTTAGTCCAGTTCTCGTTTTCAGGAATTTACGATCTATGTTTACCTTAGTTTTCTTTCTCTGATTTTAGTACATTAAGCTATGTAATCGCCGGTCACGGTAGCCGAGCGGTCTAAGGAATGTACTCTCTTCGTTCGCTTGGAAACCGGGATCGAGGGTTCGAATCCCGCTCTGGGCATGGATGTTTAGTTTGTGTGTGTGCGTTTTTCTGTGTTTGTGTACAGGTAGAGGCCTTGCGACGAGCTGATCACCCGCCCAAGGAGTCTTACCGAATGTGTAAGATCTAGAAAAACCGAAGTGAATGGAGAAGTTCATGGAGGTAGCCCTCGGCCCACTGGGGCTGTAGTGCCAATGGGGGGGGGGGAAGCTTATGTAATCAGCCTAATTATAAACTTGTATTTTTAAAGATATTTTGATCATCACTAAATAGCCTACATTCTTGAATGCGTTTACTTTTCTTAGATGTTACTGAACTAAGCATTATATGAAATACTCTTATCTTCACTTTAAAATAAAGTGATTGTAATTTATCTTTTTTTTTCATGATCAGTGAAAAGAAACGGGTCACTTTGACTGGTACAGTGCACGTTTCTCTCAACATTCTCGAACTTATATTCGACAATCACAGTAAGTACCCCTTTCTGTTTGTATCTGAATTGACAGCTTTCAGATAGAACAAGCCGTTATGTCTACTTTCCTGTACATATTTCGTTTTATGTAGCAGAGCTAGCCAAAACTACAAATTAAAAATTACGGGATTTAGTGAGCTATATTGTGCCCGATTTCTGGAATTACAACTTTCAACTGTTCACAGTAAATAATTCCAACAGAGTTTCAAAGTTTCGGACCCTAACAATGTTTCAAACTATAGATTTTACTTGGGCACCTTGTCGTTTCTCGTTTTACAAAAGTTCGTAATACAGTTGCATGTTTTGTTTAAGATATAGGATTGTTATAATGCAGCATCTGAGGAAATGACACTAGCGCGCTGCGCAACCATCAGAGTTGCTCCCGCTTCACAAACTCGTATGAACGCTGTGTTGATATTGTTTACTGTAGGTAATTATACACTTTAACAGTACGATTGTCTCCTAAAAAATTAGGTAAAGTAAAGGTATCCCTGTAACAGGCCGTGGAGGCCCATAGGGTTGTGAGACGTTGAGGTTCCCACATTTTCTAGACAATCGGCTCATAGATGGGGCAAGGTTGTCAGCCCTTCACGCCGGACANAAGTAAAGGTATCCCTGTAACAGGCCGTGGAGGTCCATAAGGTTGTAAGACGTTGAGGTTCCCACATTATCTAGACAATCTGCTCATAGATGGCGGCAACGTTGTCAGCCCTACACGCCGGACGCCCTTTACCCCCAAGAATATTCCAAGAACATTCCTGGTATTCATTTCTGTTAGAGGCTGAGTCGACCCCAGGGCCATAGTGCAGCTGGAAGGCTTAGTTAAACTGAAAAAATCCAGTAACTTCATCGGGACTTGAACCGGCAACCTTCCGGCTTGTAGCATAGTGCATCAACCAACTATGCTACCGCGTGCCCCCCCCCCTCAAGAAACTAGGTTCGTTCCAATATTCATAAGAGTCTTTCACCCGGTCCAAAGAACATTGATGGAACAAACACCGGACACGATGGAATTTCTTTTTAAACAGGGAAAACAACGCAAGTGCTTTGTTTGTGTACTCGTAGAAACTAGTGAACGAAACAAATTTTCTCTGTTATATGACACACATTCATCATAAGCTGTAGCGACTTGAAGACTAATGTAGTTATATACGTTGCAGAAAGCCTACAGCCCCACTCCAGGCAGTAGAGCCGTGCGTAAGAAATTCTCTGTTCATGTGGCAGGAAACTCGTTGTTGCGTGATTCGAGGCTTCAGCATCATCATCACTGGACCTTGTGACTAGTCAGTTCAACCCTATTCATGTTCCCAGAAAATGATTAAGCTCCATTTTACCATTTTTCTGCCATCTATGTGGCAGCCTTCTACTGTACTGCATTCTAATTACATTCGTTTATGAATATGACCTACTTGTCTCTCCCACCCATGCTAAATTTCGTTCCATATTCTCCTAATGTCATTGCGTGAATACGAAAATTAGGAAAAAACTGATTTTTGAAACAAACACATATATATATATAGGATTTGAGGCTTTCACGGCGGTGACTATGAAGAAAGCAGTCTTCTGGGATTCGGCAGCGTGTATATGTGGTGTTAACCGATGTTTCGGAGGAACGTCGGTTAACACCACATATACACGGTGCCAAATCCCAGAAGACTGCTTTCTTCAAACACATGTATAATTTTCAGTTAGGCAGTTCTCATTTTGTCTAAATATTCTGTTTCCCGTTTCGCCTTCAAATACCGTTAAGCTTGTTTCTTTTGTAACAGGAGAAATTTCGAGTTCGTCTGAATTAGAATGTGCATTATGAGTCAGGTTCATCGTCTCATGGGCACTAGCAACTCAGTTAGAGAAGAACAGGCACAAATTAATTGTCATGTTCTTTACACACAAAGAGCAAGATACATTTAATTACACAAAGCTCTAAGTTGCAGAACATAGGCTTATATTGTAATTACACATATTACTAATAGCTTAACAATATATATTAATTTAGTATAACTGTAAATTGTATTCTTCCAGACCGAATTTATTACTTAAATTCATGGAACAACTGAGAAAGAATGTGAACATTTCTGCATTTTTGGTCGACCTTAGGAATGAAAAACAAACTTCTTGATGCATTCTACTGTTTATTTTGCTGGAAAGAATTATGTCTATTTGCGTGACGTCAGAGACAAGCTTTCATGCTCACATACAAGTCTACATTTGTTCGTTTCTTGTGTTCAGTAATGTAGCTCTGCATATGTAATGGTCATATAGCTTCGAATGAGTGACGGTGTAAGGCGTGTAACACTCCGTTTTCTTCCGCAGGGGAATGGTCTACACAGTATTTCCTTCTCGGTACGGACTATACGGGATACTCTATAATCGCTGGTTGCCCGGATATAGAGTCCAAGAAACGTGAGTATATAGACAAGTAATTGCAAGTGTTCAAAGCTATGGCGCAGGCCCTTGTGTGTGGGGTGAGGGAGGGTGACGTGCTAGCATCAACTGAAATACATTTACCGAATGGTGAGATTGGGAAATACCGTTAGAGAACAGAAATATGGAGCGGTATTTTATTAAAAACATATATGACCAAATTCACACATTATGTATGCCTACATGTACAGATAAAATTGTCCCTGTGCTTAATGAATCACCACATAATGAGGATATATAGGGGAGTGAAAGTATAGATCCACACATTCTTCTGCACTACATAGAGGTGAATGGTCAGCTTCACGACCCTCCGCTTTATCCCCAGGATAAAAGTTCCGATATAAACTGGATAGGAGGCTGTGTGTGTCCCTGAATCCGCCTAGCCGCAGAGAAGATAAACAAATATGACTCTGTTGCGAATCGAACCCCCCTTGTTTGGTCGTCGAACTGGTAACCTGGTCACTATATCGACTGAGCTATCCCGGCTCATACACATTATACCAGAAATCTCATTAGCATACATGTACACATTATATATAATAATGCACAAGAGTTAATGAACGCACACAGAGAGAAGCTTAATTAGTGCATGCATGGAGGAGTGCATGAGATTTCTTGAAAGAACTCCCTGCATCTATACCTGTAACAGAAAAGTAGCTGTGTACTAATACGTCTTCATGTTGTTAATTCTTTGTCCTCAGCCAATGCATATGTGTTGTTCCGAAGTCAGAATCCTTCAGAAAGCGTAAAGAAAGCCGCCGACGAGACGCTGAAAACTTACAATTTGAGCCTCAATGACTTCCACAAGGAATGCTAATAGTTCAACGTGCTTCACAGCAGCGGCGCTCCGACCCTTTCATAAACAAGCAGCCCGAGGAAATGAAGTTGTTTATCATACATTTTGTTAAATATACTGCACTCTTGCACTGATAAAATTTGCACTTTACATGTCTGATAAACAATCCTGTTCACAGAAGAAATCATCTTTCTATATGGTTAGAAGTCAGGATTTTGCTCTTTATACTCGTATCTATCATTTGCTGTACTTCTGTTGTTATAATAAATATCTTGGATCCTAAATAAGATTAGCCAATGGTGTTTCGACACTCCCATGGTGCTATACCTTTACAACCCTCGGAATGTACGTTATTAAAGAAAAAATTCTAATAGCAGCAGTGGGTATTCTGAATTTCGAAGGCGACGGGGAACAAAACATTGTAATTTATAACAGTATTGCATACTGCGTTTTGAGGGACATATTTTCTTTTTCTTTTGTTTGTGGTGACTACTTACAGCTGTAACGTCTCAAGGATCTTGGATTTACGAATCTATTGTTTTTCTGACCTTCAGAACACATTTGTGTGGTAGGACGCCACTAAATGACCGGAGTCCGGGCCCGATTCCTGACGGTGGCTGCCTGATTCGTGCTGCTACTCCACAATGTACAGATATAATTTAATTTTAACCTCGTTCCCATACTTGTGGAACGCCCGTTAGGCTCGCTCGGTCCTTCCATCTGTTCTGTCCTTTCCCCACGCGAAACAACTTCACTACGGCTTGATGGACATTCACGAAACTCGACACTGGAGAATTTTACAGTAACATTTCGATCCAGTAATTTTAACTAGCACTGTAAATTAAATCTTCCATGCATGCCTGCGTTTATCTCGAAAGTAACTCACTGGATACCTATGGGAGACATGAATGCATGGAATAAATGTTGTAGAGGAAAAGGAAACATTTAAACTTCTCTGTCTTAAGGTCGTCGAGATAATTTAAGGAATGTATACTGATATGCGTACATATCAGCCGAATCAGGGTACAAAACTCTAGAAGCCTCAAAATATAAAGTGTACTGGACATAACTTAGCATTTATTCATATTTAACAAACAACATCTGTCGCCCAAACAACTACAAGAAACTACTTCTTTAATTTCAGCAAATGATCGCAACTGAGAAGAATAGGTGCAAATATTCTAAGCACATTTCTGAAATGGTTGTACCTATCTACTGAAACACATCCAAGAATACCATAAACTTGAAATTACATTAACATACATTGCTACCAGCAACTCGAAAAGATACACAGCGGTGAAAGAAATGCAGCACCTCCTGCTTCTGTGCACAAACCGAAACTTCTGATTCAAAATGGAGGATGGATTACTGTCACACATGGCACGGAGTTGAACGTGGTGTGGTGGTAGCGTAGTTGGTTGAGACGTCATGCTCCAAGCCGGAAGGTCGCGGGTTCGATTCCCGATAAGGTGCACTTTTTTCAATTGACCTAATCTTTCCAGCCGCACGATGGCCCTGGTGTAGACTCAGCCTCCAACAGAAATGAGTAAAATGAGTACCACGAATCTTCCTGGGGAGTAAAGAGCGGTGTATTTTTTATTGTAGAAAAAATATTGTAAATACAAAAAAGGCCTAGGCACTGCCCATCCGGCCTTCTGCAGCGGTGTGTTGGGCTGACAATCTTACCGCCATCTGTGAGCCAACTGTCTCGATAATGTGGAACCCTCAACATCTCACAACCCTATGGGCGTTGCCGTTTTCTTATTTGCGTGAATCCATTCACTGACATGTGTTCAACTAGGGCTGATAACAATTATCTGGAATTGCGGTTGCCAGTTTCTTTGGTGTGCCCTCGCCCTCAGCGTCCTCAACACGTAAACAAAGAAACTACTTCCATTAAAATTGTAATTCTGTCTATTAAGTTGGCATAGCCTACGTTCCAGCTGATTGTGGTTGATGTTGCCCAGATTGTTCGGCAGTCATTTGTTACGAATTTGTTTATATTGTTCTGTAAGTTTGAATGGCTGTACAAATATTTCCCCTAAAACTTTCGCTTTAGCATGGCGTAATATACCTCTGCTTTAAATCCGCTGGAACTGAAGGGTGGAATGCCTCGTCCGAGATTAACGGATGAGGAGCGTGAAGTTAGTCAAGCACGAAGAAGGCAATTAGATGCTGCACGGAAAAGAAGGAAACGAATGGATGCTAGCTACAGGCAAATTGAGCAACAAGCGAATACCGAAGCACGTCGGAAAGCTCGAGAAGTATCTCGCACGCTATGTAGGTACGATGTACGCGTGACCAAAATATTTCACAAGCATTGCAAATGATTTTGCAATTTTTTCTGTACTTCACTTTGCATAACCTCACCTTGCCGAGTCACACGCCACCTTCAAACAGTAAGGGCGAATAAACTGCCGAGGTTTCTTTCCCCGGGGGAATTACCAAAGTATTGAAGGTACTGTACATTCGTCAGATATAAACACCTCGGAAGACTTGAGAGCATTGTATTTGTTACTGCAGCCTAGGCAGTCTCTCCCCCAACCTTTTACGTTAAGGAAGCGACAGTATTCTTAGGTAAGTGGAGTTGCTGCACTCCTTACTATGTACAACCCCTCTCTTTATTATACTTTGTATGCGTTCAGTAAGACGGATGTCATAGTGTTGAAGTAATTGTAGAATGATATGCTCATGATAAGGGAGATGGCATGAGCTCTAACGTGGCCTCTGGCTTGTTCTTTCTTAATATTTCCAATAGCTTTGACGTCATATAATCTTTAAAATGAATTGCACAACTGTGATAAAAACCATGCTGCAACCTGCATGGATGAGAATGAATCTCACCCTCCCTTTACCATCTATTACACCATCATCTTGTCAACACATCTGCATCATGTAGTGTAGATGTGCTGTCCTTTCATCTGAATATGCTTCAGATTGGTATGTAGTGATGACCTTCAGAATGCAGCAATATCATTTCATTTGATCATTATGCATCTGAAATTCTTTTCACAATATTTCTTTCTCACTTTGAATGTTAATTGCTTCTGTTGCAATACACGAAGGTTTCTTCAGATGTATTTGATGCTTTCAAAGCATAAAACGGGTGTGCTTGTTGTCTGCAGTGTGGCAAACAGATCTAAAACGCTGGAAAATACATGAATTATGTGTGGAGATTCCACGTCCATCCTTGATTCTGAGTGAAATCTCCCTTCTGCTAAGCTTCTGCTGTCCCTCACTTCGCAGCTGTTCTCAAACTAAATATGACTGAAATGGAAAACAGTCCAGGATTATGCCAAAGCTGTTCAGAGCAGAGAAGGAAATAATTATTCTCAAAGTAATATCATTTTCTGTAGAAAAACGTGGTGTTTGATGTCTCTGCAAACTTAGTGATAAAATGGCAAAGTTTTCCCTGTGCTTAATCAGTTAAGCACCGTACCTTGAAGACATATTGGAGAGTGGAGGTATATCTTCACATTCTTGACCTTGGCACTAGATGGAAGTGAATGGTCACCTTCACGCCCAAGACACTTTATCCCCAGGAAATAACCCTCATGACCCACTGGATAGGAAGTTGGGTGGGCCCCTAGAGCTGATCTGGACGCTGTGAAGAAGAGAAGATGTTGCCATGCTGAGAATCATACCTGAGCCATCCAGCCCATAGCCTGTCACTGTACTGACTTCTAAATTAGTGATAAAGAAAGAGAATTTTGATATGAGATTTGAGGACATCAATTTGCTGACTATGAAGGTCACTGCCATCTAGAATGTGATGCCATATAGTCTTTTAGATAGTTACTAATATTTCAGCATGTGCTGCATCCATATTGAGGTTAAAAACTCTTCAGCATTAGGAGCTGTTTACCAGTCTACACAGTGTCACATCCCAGAAGACACTAATCTTCAGGGAGAACTTCGTTTAAAGAAGACCAAATGGATGATATATTGTGAAGAAAAATACATACATTGTAGTGATCTGTGATGCAAATATTAACAGGGGTTCGGAAGAAACATTGCATTCAGTTTATGATGAAGTAGGAAGAAATTACAGAGTTCAAGTCAACATAATGCCAATGATGCACAAATCACTTTGGTCTAACAATACTTTGGAATGAATGAATGTATAATTGCAGTAAGGCTCAAAATTAAAAGAGATTTCATGACCATGTTAGAGAATATTACTCAGCAATATTAAGTCTTTAGCTGGTAAGGTTAAGCTCTGGTGATGTGACAGCTGACTGAAGGGAAGTGAAGGGAAATTCGTATCAGTAGTACGTAAACTCAGTGACAAACTCCATTATAATAACTGAAATTTCCTTCTTTTATGTTAACAGTGTTATAGTATGAATGCGGACTTCTAAATAACAAAACTAATGTAACACGTGTAATCATTTGCTTTTTAGCTGTAAGACGACAGTTCTCTGTCACTGCTGCACCACTCACTTTTAATATCACTGTTAGCAAATATGATCTCCATTTGGTATGTTTCTTTCCCTACAGATTATCCCTAGCCCAGTAACCAACTTTGAGTTTATTTATATGAGAAACAGCACTTTATCACTTTGTTTTTGTGTATGCTGTCAGTAGCCAGAGTCATAAGATTTTCAATTTCAGAAGCACTTGAACCGGCCTTTTTCAATCCTTCAGTTCTCACAGAATTTCATATTAAGCCTACTGCATTAAGATCATAGTAGTATGGAGGTAATGTTATGATTTTGTGATCTTTTTCTTTGAATACTGAATTGATAGAATATTTGGTTGGAGGAGGGTGAATTTGAAATCAGTTTATTTTCTTGCCTTTTTCTCTTTAAAGTATATGTTATTCCCCTGAAGCCATTTCCAAATGCCTCCTTTTTCAGTTCCAAAATTACAGGTTTATCAGTTTTGATGTAAAATCTTGTTATTCAATTGAGTGACTATAGACAGGGTTTGAATTGGTAATCAGGCTTATAGGACACTTAAACAGCTTATGACTACACTCTTCAAAAATCACTGTCACACGAAGACAGTTGTCCTCAGTAAGAGGTCACTTCTCTGCTTGGTAACATCTTCCAACAGTGAATGTACTTCTGCTCCTGGGCTTACATCCTCACAGCCTGATGGCCATTTCACACCAACCTCCTACTCTTCTAACTGAAGACTGACTCGGTCAGAGTCAGAGTTATTTCACAACTGGCAGTTTACTGCCAGTCAGTTCATCTTGGTGTCAAATCCCGTGAGACTCATGACTGGAGATTTTTTTGAACTGAACCCTTGTGGTCATAGTCCTTATGTAACATCCTCTCTGCTGATAAGAATGGTTTCTCTCTTATGAATATGCTTGGCCTTTTGTCAAGTATACATATCACACACATATAGCATGTTCATGAAAAGCCCTCTGTCAGTACAGGCTTTGCAAAGCAGATTTAACCTATCTTATGTATCTTAGGCTACAACAGCAGCTTAGTCACTTGAACAATCATAAGCTTGACCACAGCCAAGTTTAAGCCTCATATAGTTTCTATATTTGGCTTCACTTTGTCCTATACTGCAAACATATTCATTCACATAATTTTGTATGACTTCTGCTTGTTGCCTGCACAGTTTTGTTATATGATAGTATACATTCGGAAGGTTGATAACCATGTGCAAATTATGGACCATGTGCACCATGGAAAATTTCCAGTGGTGCATAGAACCTAGTTTTGTAGATGCTGCGATTTTAAGAGAATGGTGTCTGCCATTAATTCCCAATCAGAGCAAGCATAAGTCATTACCGATCTGGAGGGCTAGTTTAATATTGGTGCTTAAACGCTCACTTTCAGATAGGAAGTAGATTCTAAGAAATGATCTGAAGACTTTGGCTTCAGTCATTCCTATGTGCAGTCTCCATGTAATCCTCTTATTAAAGATTACATCAAGATATTTTACATGATTGATGAATGGGAGATACTGAGGAAAACCACAAGAGACCTCCAGTCATGTTAGCTAATGTCTCTGCCAAGATAAATGAAGTCATATACCTTTGCTTGTGTTAGGTCTAGTTGGGATAGCTCATTTGGTATAGTGAGAGGCTATGGGCTGGAGTGCACAGGTTTCGTTCCTGGCACTGCAAGATTTTTCTCTTCTCCATAGCATCCAAACCGACTCTGGGCCCCACCCAGCCTCCTATCCAATGGGTACCAGGGGCACTTTTCCCAGTGGTAAAGAGGCAGGATCACTCACCTCTATCTAGTTTTGAGGTCAAGAAAGGCTGAGCTATACCTTCACTCCCCCATATGTTTTCATGGCATAATGCTTAGTTAATTAAGCACAGACACATTTTGTTAAGGTATGATTTCTGCAACAGATTGAGATTGGTAGCAAGGTTAGTTTAGTCCACATCAGGCTTGTTTCAGAGCTTAGTATAAATAAACCACTTCAGCAGTATGTCATGTGGGTGCATGCCAATGATACTCTTGTGATATGTTTCTGTATTGTAAAGTTGCCCCATGAAATGATAACATGACCTTTGTTATGTATAGTTTAAGGCATGCTGGACCTTATACACACTATGAAACGTTCATGATTTGCCTCAGTTCCTGCAGGTGAATTCTGGGTAAGGTATACAAATGGATTCCTACCACTTACAAGTAACTACCAGTTCATAAATTCCCTTATATTTATTTATTTATTTCATCTCTATAGATCATTGTTACATGATATAGGACAAGTCAGTTACTGAACGTAATGCTGGTATTATATTTACAGGGAGGTTAATGGCCGAAGTTACCTCCAGACTGGTGTACCAACAATATTTCCAGAATGTATTCTTAGCCAATGGTCTGTCATGAGGATGGGTAATAACCAATAAACTTTAATAGGCAATACCCAAGACTTTTTTCCTCTAGCCAACCATTCCATCTTTGGAGAATGTTTTTTCTGGAACAGCCTCAATGTATGTCGTAAATGATTACAGTGACAGACTTCAAAGCTCCTGTAAACTTGTTCCAAAACTTTGAAAAACTATCAAGAAAATATGTAAGTCTTCATTTCACAAATATGAATAAATAATGCTAAATAAATTCATATTCAGCTAGTCCTTTAACACAGCCTGACATGACTACCATAGCATTCCAGGACTCAAAAAAATGGTAGGTAATCAGAAGTTTGTGTGTATCTGGTCAGTGGGTATGTCCCATTAACTCCAAGGTAAAGTCTTTCAGAAACCATTGATACTTATGTGGGCAAGTACCTATTCCAAAGTTAATAATGGCACGTATTTCCTGAATTTATCATAATTTTAGTTTCATGATGAATGTCACATTAGATGACTGTTTTTAATTTCTTAAGTAAAGATAGGCATATGATATCATTATGTCCATCTGTATGTTTTTTCCTACACTGGAAGACTTGTTATATGCTGCAAGTAGTTTCATATTTCTTGCTGGCATGAGTAACACAGTCAAAAATGAAACCTGCATTAAATGAAAACCTACTGCCATTGTTATAAAATCTATCTCCAGCCTAGAGAATATAGAGTGAAATCAAGTGTAATATTACCTGTAACAAGTTGGAACTGTTTAATATGTGGAAAAGGGCGAGACAGTTTCCTAGGAAACTGTTGGCTTTAATATTTTTTTTCATTTATATAATTTTGTTTGTCTGGCCTTCCCAGAATTTACCTGAGAAGCGATATTAATTTTGTTATGAAAAAGAATTAAACCCGTCAGCAAAATATTCTGAGGTCTGTCACTGGAAACTGAAGCTGTATACTTCTCACTCATAGTGTAGTGCACATATGTAGCATGAAACACTGATTTATATTACGAATGGATGGAATATGTACTATGCCATTTCTTATTTCTTTGTTTTTGTCTGTGTTAAATGGAAATCTGTCTGAAAGAGAATATATCCTTCAGACTCTTAAGATTGTAAGCAGGTTTAATATTTTTACTCCTGCATGCAAGAGCATTTTTGATGTCTGCTATGGACTACATATAAATAATTGCTATCTCTGTCCAAATCTCTCATTGAAAGCAGATTTTGATAGATACTATTTCTATGACAAAATATTTTCACTTTCAATAATAATTAGATAGTTTCATACTAAAGTGTATATGGTAGTCTTTTTAGAACGTACATGAACAGAATAATTTGTTGTCAGGTGAATCAGATGTTCATAAACAAGATGGTGACAGGGTTTCCACAGTAAATACAGATTGCAGCAACAGTAAACCTGAATCTACACCATCTATGGAAGACAATAAAAGTGAAAAGAAGAGGGAACTAGCAACAGCCCTACCAGACACCTCTGTGTACTTTAAGGAAATGTCTGTAGGGGTAAGGCATTGTCTTCATATGAACCCTTTGCCATACAGTTTAAATGTATTTGTTGCATTGTTTATATATATATATATAAATGTAAAAGTTTTCTTTTATATTCATGATTTTATCTTTGACTACATATGTATTGTGAATATATACAGTGTTTCCAGTTAATCTTGATGGAACATCTGATGATGGGCAAGACAGGCCAAAACATTAAGGTTATCTTGGGTATTCACAATAAACTAGTCACATCTGAAGGAATTATACTTTTTACATACATCCATAGTAGATACTGCAGCAAATGGTATGCTGTATGTTGACCCTTACAGTTTCTTTGTAAATTAGATTCTTTCTTTTCAGAACAACTTAGGCATGCTGAAGTTGGAGCCTGATTCAGATAAAGAAGCACATGTGGTGCCCATAAACACTGAATCTGAATTCATTGATATAAAACAAAAAGGAACTCCAGAATTTCAGTCTTTAAAAAAAGATATTGATGGTGATAATGGAGTTGATGTCACTTCATCCCTACGGAAGGGTGGTGGTGATGAAGATGCAAGTCATGTGGATAACTTCCCAACGTAACACTTCGTTAGGACTTCCAAAAAAGTGTGTAAACAAGAAGTTCTGGGAAGAACTAATTGCCTACTTTCCTTGATATAACATGGACTGCATAGAATGCAATGCATCCAACAATTCTTATATTGCTGTGCGTGTATTCGTTGCTACGGTAATGTTTTGACTGAACTGTTTCGTAGCAGCAATAGTGATATAAACATGTAGACCCACAGACTGATGAGAAGGATTTATCAAGTACGCCACTGAGGTGGACTCATGTGCCATGATATGCATATCAAGTTTCATAAAGTTTGGTTCAGGCATTCAGAAGTTAATAGGGTGGCTTCAGAGACACACTGTCATCATGGAGATGGCATTAGCCTGCTTTAGGAGAGTAGACTAAAAATTAAACTACGTGAGCTACTGAATCCATTTCCATACAAGCATGGCCATGTAGGTCAGTGTACTGGATTATCTAAAAATTGTAGTGGGTTCCTCAGTACAAAAACTTCCAACCTAAAAAATGCCAGCTTGAAAAATCTCACTTTTAACATTAGATGGAATTAAGTAATTCTGCAATTTCCTCAAAGGGTACATTAAACTTTTTCATTTAGTGGCTCGATGATAATGTGTAATTGTGTGCCTCTATGAAAAATTCATATTTTCATTGTCTTGCACACCTTTACCATTAGTAAGCAAAGAACAAAACTTGTGTATCTAGAGAGTTCACCATACCTTTGCCTTCTGCTTTTATAGGGAAAACACCTCTGCCTAATATAAATGTTCTTTTTACCCATCAGTAGTAAGCCCATTATGAAAGGGCTGCGCCATAGCTCAAGCGGTTAGTCTCTGGCTTCTCACCACGGTGGCCCGGGTTAAATCCCAGGTCTGGTCAAGTGGGATTTGTGTTGGACAAAGTGGTGCTGGGGCAGGATTTCTCCGAGTACTTCGGTTTCCCCTGCCAATCTTCATTCCATCAACTGCTTCACAATCACCCTCACCTATCATCTGGGGCTGGTACAATAGGCCAGAAGTGGCCGCAGTGCAAGGGACTTAGTCCCACCCCACTAGCAATAAAAAAACCCATTATAGAATTGAGAATTCCTCATTTTATGCTGAAAAAAGAAAACTACTTGACTGAGGTGCTCCAATGTGATCAGTTACAGATGACCACAAATGCCTAATGAGGGACACTGCACAATGAAATGTGCAGATTATACAATAAAATTAACCCTAATCAACATCATAACATGACATTCTGCAGGTGACCTCCATCACCATGTCCACACCCTTGCATTTGAATTGGCAGAGGTCATTATATGTTGCAGCAAGACATTAGTCATGGTCCAGAGCTTGATATTGATGATGGTGATAATAATATGAAGCTTCAGGTTTCCTTTTGTTTGTTCATGCAAACATTGTGAATTGTTATTGTTTCACTTTATTCAAATTGCTGTAACAATTCTAGAGATTTATTTTTTAAAAGCAGCATGTTTAGTCTTAGGTGGGTGGACAATATTAAAATGAATGGTATGGATTGGATTGATCTGGCTCAGGACAGAGACCAGTGAAGGGCTCTTGTGAACATGGTAATGAACCTTTGGGTTCCATAAAATGCCGGGAAATTCTTGAGTGGCTGCATAATGGGCGGCTTCTCAAGAAGGGCTCAGCTGCATAAGTAAGTATGTTTGGTCTCCAAATCACACTGAAGATTTGCAGGTTTCAGATATTCATTAGCCAGTGCTGTGTAACACAATGTACATTGCAGTCTCAGCTCACTTTGTATATCAGTGTACATGGAACCGAAATTAATATAGTTGTTATATTATTGTTTTCCTATGTTTTGGTGTAGTTTCATTAACAGTTCTTGTATTAACCATTGCCAGAAATATATTTGTCCTTGATATGTAATTTGAAAATATGGGCACTTAAATTTGAATCTAGGTTCAGCTGGTACTTTTTCTCACATGAAATTTATTTCCCTCAGAGCTAGTGAAAATATAAATTCACTGTCCAGTCTTTATTCCCCATCTTTTCTGATCCACAGAAAATTAAAAATAACTGCAATTGAAAAATATGCACCCTTAGATGTGTATATTTTATTTTTGGCTACCGACTACCAACCGTTGCTTAGAAACTGGGGTTTGTTTATCTGCCTATTCCATATCAATGGCTATACTCACCTGTTTTGATGTCTCTGCACAGCAATGGATCTGTATGCTGCAATCTTCACCCATCAAGTCAGCACAGTTTTCATGAGACCATTTCTCATACTTCATAATTTTGCCCACAGATAAGACAGTAATCTTGTCCGCATCTAAGAAATTTTATTCAGTTGCAGGCCTTTTTTGATGATGGTTCTTTTGAAAGCTCATTTTTTTCTTATCAGGTTTACGTCTAGAAATTGTGGCTACAACCAATGGCTTCTTGTGTGATATCCCTGTGAACGTTACACAAGATACAGACTATCAGTTTCTAGAATTTAATATGTGAGTATTTGGAGCTTGATGGCATGTAGTTGAATGACAGATCTCCTTTGCCATTTGACATGCAGATTCAAGCCTTGTTGAATCCTTTGACCAGAACTGAATGAGGCACGCATTTTGATGGATTCATTATTTGATGCTCAATTCTTCCAGTTAAGTTTTCAGCTTATTGATAATCTCCCTAATAAATGGCACTTTCATTACTTTGAACACTTCTTCAGCTGCATTTATCTCATGTGATGGAACATCTGACAGAGCAAAATCAGCATATATGAACACATTAACATCAGGATGCCATAGTCTACTGTTCCTAAACCCATTCATGACAGTCTGTATATTTGAATGCCATACCAGCACTGAGATATATTATATTGTTAATTATTATCCAGGTTTTCTCTAGTTTATTGTGACAATAGAGCCCATGTAATTGTTGAGAGATTTGAAGAATAAGATATTGAGAATCGCTGAGTGCAGTGGGATGGCAATGGTAGGAGCAGAACTCTGTATTTGAATGTGATTTCAATCTGTAAGCTTCAGTGAGACTGGTGTGTCCACCTAAAACCAGTATCACCTTTTCTTCTGGCATAGATTTTACCACTGATATAAAGTGGTGGATCCATTCTTAGAATATCCTGGTGTTCATCCAGCCTTTCTTCTGGTAGCGGCAAAAAATACCAGAGGCTGCTCCTGCTAAAAGACTTCTGTTCTTATTGTACCAGGATAAATGAACGTTTGTGAGACATGTGAACCACTACCACTCACTACATGCGAGTATACGCCTATCACATTTTGTCCTCATTCACAAGATGTAATTGCTCCCTCTTGATGCTTACCTTTTTGGGCTACTGTTTTCTCAGGAAGCTGCAGAACTTTATGGAATGTTTCATCCATGTTGTTGTATGTTCCTGCAACATCCTTCTTATCAACAAGATGGATTGTCTCCTTCCATCCAGGCAAATACCAGGATAGTACTCACTTAGGAAACTACAGCTTCCTTCCAAATCCTGTCAAGTACATCATCTTACCATTCGTCACTATAAAATCTTGATTAGTAAAAAAATAAAACGTAAAGCTATCCCTGTAACAGGCCGTGAAGGCACATAGGGTTGAGTCATTGAGGATCCCACATTATCTAGACAATCGGCTCAAAGACAGCGGTAAGGTTGTCAGCCTTAAGCACCGACCGTGCTTTACTCCCCAGGAAAATTATTTAATTAATTCCTGGTACTCATTTCTTTTAGAGACTAAGTCGACCCCAGGGCCATAGTGCGACTGGAAGGATTAGGTCAATTGAAGAATATCCAATGACCTCATCAGGACTTGAACCCGCGACCTTCCAGCTTGTAGCATAGTGCCTCAACCAACTATACTACCACATGCCCCCTCTTGATTAGTAACAGTGTAATTATATAAACCACATAAGAAACTTACCTTTCATGAAACCCCAGAATAAAGAATTTACATGGATTGAGGGGTGGCCAAATGTGCCCACACTTGTGATGCTGCAGATATTGATGTAAAATTGCATGATGTCTGAATAAAGTGTGCAGAAAATCTGACATTATATTAGTCACATGTTGCAGTGAACCAACTTGCACAAACCAACAAGCATCCATAGGCATCTGAGTTGTTGTAAGTTGCAGTGTGAAGTCAGTGTGCAGTACTTGCATATATTGAGTTAGGAAAATAGTCCAAAGCTGTGGCTCAACATGGTGACTTACACAGTTATTCCCCCCCCCCCATGCCTTCCTTTCTCATGGAATTGATGCACATGTTCTGCTGCCCAGTAACAGTACATTCTACTTCATTTTCTCATCCAAATTAAAATAAGCTTTGTCCAAAAACCAGATACATAATCTAGAATTTTCTATTTCTGTCCATGTTGCAAACTCAAATCATCCTTGTTTAACACATTCATGAAACACTGACATTTTGTACATAAACATCTGCATTAAATCAAGTTTAAATATTCACTGAACTGATTATAATCAGATTATAATCGATAATTATCGAGGTATCCCAAGTTCAACTGAATTTCAGGTTCATTCTGTTGGACTACGTTGCATTGCAACTCACTGGGTGGCAGCATTCTCAACAGAATGAACACATATGATTAGTGATGTTTCTCTTTTGTACACTGCCTTCCTTGTCAAAGTTCTGGTCAATTGAAGTATGGTGTTTTGTGCTGGTACCTAATGAGTTAACAAAGAAAGCCTGGATCTTCTGTGGGTATCAGTTAAATCTTTATTTTGGCATGCAGTAGTACAAATTTTGTCCTTCTGCTCAAGTGTAAGACAATTATGGTCAGTCATTTTGCTTATTAGTGGATGTATATCGTTGTTAGTTAACAGCAAATCTGCTGTGAAATCTCACTGCCCTCTACAGGTATTTCCAGGAATTACTACAGACTTTTCATAAACTTCGATCTGCTTTCAATAAATGGTTTGGTTTTAATCAGTGTTACAAATATGTTAACATTATGTGTGTCACCCTGCATATATGAAGATTATTTACTATGTACAGAGACCAACATCTCTTTCTTGGTATAGATTATGATATGAGAGGTTAAGGGTAAAGTAGTTGTCCCTGTGCTTAACTAATTAAGCACTATGCGATGAAGGCATATGGGGAAGTGGATGTATAAATCCACGTTTTCAGACCTCAGCACTACTTCAAGATGGTCAGCTTTATGCACCAGCCACATTACTCCCAGGGAAGGAGGCTGGGTGGGCCCCAGAACCAGTGTGGACAACATGGAGAAGAAAATTCTTGCCCGTACTGGGACTCTAACTCAGACCTCTTGGTTGTCCAACCAGTTGCTATACCTGGCTCCCTTGTAATATGAGAGGACAACAGGAAAAAGTCATTAAAAAACAAAAAGATGATCAAATTATGGATGGCAGGATTGATGGGGTGTGTGGCACACGAGATGAAACATGCATGACATTTTATTCAGAAAATGTGAGGGGAGCAGGCCATTTGAGAGACATACACATGAATGAGATATCAAAATGGATCATCTGAGGGTGTGAATTGGATTCATGTAGTCCAATGGTTGGATATTACTGAATACATTAAAAGTCATTGGGGGGGGACTGACCAATTCGACTATCAACTTTCGAGGATTCTCGCTGCGTCTAGTATTCACCTTCTTTGAAGGAGTGCAGTCAACAAGGCACTACCAAATATTGCTTACCAAGGAGCCGGAATGGCGTAGTCAGTATAGCTGCTGACTGCGGGCTAGACAATCGAGGGGTTGAAGTTCGAGTCCCGGTAGGGTCAAGAATTTCCTCCTACCCAATGGATACCAGCTGTAAAGCGGCTGGGCAGTGAAGCCCGTTAGCTTACCACTCAACTCCAGCTTGTGCCCAAGTCAAGAAAATGTGCATCTATACCGATCTGTAGATGTACTCCCCCATATGCCTTCATGGCATAGTGCCTGCTTAGTTAAGCACGGGGACTTTACCTTTTCTTGTTTACCACTATCTAACATCCTTCTGTTAAATTCCATACATTTTGGACTTGCGAAATATATGTCTGTATGTATTGTATCATATGGAAACATTTATAATCAAGCTTATTGACATTCCCGAAAATTTATATTTGAAACGTCATTTGGGACACCGCGCTTTCTCCGTCCTCGAGTAAAAATCCCCAGTCGAACAGAGTAGGTTCTTTTACCTGAGGGCGGAGAAAGAATGCAGTCTCTGACATGTTCCATACAACAATTATTTATTAAATTGTATATGTTTATCAGTATTTTATACAAATGTGCATGATATTGGATGACAACTGTAATCCTTAGTTGTGACTGTAACTAGGACGATCTCCACATCCGCATGAGAATGTACTCTCGACAGGATTTATGGGAGGTGAATAAATGAAATGAAATTAGGACGTTCGATAATATCCAAAGAATTACTCTTTTCATCATTCCTCCACTTATCCAATGACTGGATACATTGACATAAGTCAACATAAAATCTATATATTTCAATCAGATTTTCTTATCCGAATGATGTGGTAATTGTATAATTCGAATAAGTGTGTTTTTGTTTTTACTGTTTCAAGCTCGATTACTACTGTTATGTGTTTCGCAAAACTAATATGAAGTGTTATTATGACTACTTCCCTTCTTGAAGCAGATCATATGATCTTGATGTGTTTGATGTCTCGTGAGCGCTGTTGAGTGTATGGATGTTTACTCCCAGGCAGGAATATTAGCATTATCGCTGTTATTCATGTGACCGCTTCGATATTGACTGAAAAACAAAAAAAAAAGTGTACAATTTCCGAATTTCACTTTTGTCAGTAAGAACAAAATACTTTCAGCATATAAGGGAGATTAAATAATGGTGAGTTATGTATAAATTAAGATGAAAGATGTGTATGTAGTTGATTGGAGTACCCTCGGAAATTTTTCTTTTCTTTGAATGATATATTTATGCTGGAGCGTACTTGGATTTAATCGACGTTTGTGGAATTCTGTAACATTGAAATGTGGTCATGTTTCAGTAATTGTGTTTAAGAGTGTAGGACATTTGTACCTACGAACGTCAGTGTGGAAGACAATTCAAAGGTCATTGTTGAGGTTAGTACGGTTGACTGCAAACTGTACAGTGTTTGGAAGGTTATTTCTTATCATATCATTGTAAGTGAACTGAAACACGATCTTATACTGTTAGAAAAATTGCTCTACATTTGTGCAGGTCATAGGCTGTTAGTACTGAAGTACAGCGTACATATGAATGTTGTGTTTGTGAAATATCAGTATGCCGTGTTTGATTTGGAGGATATTGAAGAGTTGCTTTTTTAATTTGCTTGGTCACATACATGTGTTAAATTCCAAAGACCAAGTTCATTACTCCTGTGTTATGGAGCATAGGAATGTTAGATTTGGAAAAGGTTTGATGTTGGTATGGTATATTGTGAAAATACCAAATTTTGTCGTTTTTCTTCTGTAACACTGTTAAAATGGACGAATAAGTGTGTATTTTAGATGACGTTATTCAGGAAGTGTTTGAACAGTCACATAGATGCAGTTTTTCATGTTCCTTATTTTATAAGTTAAAAGATTAACCATCTGGCTGATCTTTAGGACTGGAACTACTACATTTACATATAATCATACTGGTTTGTAATATTCCTGACAAAAACAATAGTTGTGGCTTTATTATATTCTTAATTTTGTAGTTCTCAATGACTGACACATTGTTAGAATTTGTTGAACTGGATCTGGTTAGGTATATGAAAGTACGTTGTGTAAGATATAACTGTTGTGAAAGAAGAGACCACAGTCAGTAAAATTTTGAAAAATAAATGTTACAGAGGTTTGTTTTTGGTGCAGGTCGTCATCATACAAATGTGATTGGATAATTTTGACATAGCATTACAAGTTTTTATGTAATTAAGACACAAAAGTAGAATTTGCTCCTGGTGAACAAAGTGCAGAACCCCCTCACATCATGTGATGGTTACAAGATCCTGTTCAGTCTGTGTGAAACTGCACTCACACAGCTGTTCTAATAATAGTCGTGATACTCTGTACTGATGTAAGCAGGCAAAACACCTGATCTTTTCCACCTAGTTCACACAAGTAATAAAACTGTTGTTATATGCTTATTGGCCACATGTCACTTTTACAGATGTGAAGATTGTATTCTGAATTCCTATCAAGTATCAAGTCAGCCTTTCAGGTTCCACATCCGTACTTTGCCCTGAAAAACAAAATGAATCAAGGTCATAATTATACTCTCCTTTTATTTGTCATTGCATGATCCATGCAGTAGCTACAGTATTATTGTATGATTTGCAAAAAGTAAATCATCTTTCTGTCATTACTGATCAAACGTATAAAAGTTCTATTATCTTTCTGTTAATTGCCACTGTGTAAACAGAATTCCTAACAGTACATCAATGAAGATAAAATTTGTTAATTGTTATAAAAAAAGTTAGAACATATTTATAGCCTCAGTTTAGCGGCCTCCGTAGTCGTGGAATTTTTAAGGGCAGAAAAATTCAAGGAACAAGCCGTCCAGGAGGGACTTTAAGCCGTGTGTCCCGTGTCGTAGATTTATATAAGATCCTCATGTCTGTAGGAGACCTCTGAGCAAAATTATGCAAAGTTTCCCGCCCAAGTAATTCCTCTGGTAGATGGGGAAGTATCGGGGACCACTGTCAGAGAGGTGGCCGACCTCGCTGGCAGAATGGGGCTGATAGCGAGCACCAGTACTGGAAGGGCATGGCGACTAGATCAACAACTGGTCACAGTGCATGGGGAAACCCACCCCCTCCAAAATAATAATAATAATAGCCTCAGTTTTAATTAAAGCAGTATATATGGGGAGACCCCCTCGTTGGTGGCTCCACCTTATCGTGGTGAGGGGGTTTGAGTATGCCAAGGACCCTGAGAGCTATACCAGCGGTAGCGTAGCTACTGGCAGGGCCTCCCTTGCTGGACAGGTCAAAGGGTAGGCATCAGACGAAGAGAGACACCAAAAACTGATGCCGGAAGCAGCGTCATCAGCAGCGACTTGAAGCACAGAGTAAATAATGCTCGAGATGGTTCAAGTTCGTATAGCAACAGGCGTGACCAGAGTGGTTTGAACGCCTGTTGTACTGCGATGTGGAAAGCAAATGGAAAAACTACCACATTATCACATTTCCTGGATAGTCTCTTTCCAAAACCAGAGATACCATGTATGCGAGATGTTTCATTTGAAGGAGAAAGCTCTAGATCGCATCAAGTGGAGGAACTGTTTTGGAAGAGACTGTGGACCTGTCGTCTTGACAGATTACTGATGAATGAATATGGGGAGAATATTTGGCAGCTGGCCCAGGGAACAGTTTTTACACTATTCACATGCACGAAGTGGGTTGCTGCTTTTCCTACTCACCTGAATGCAGTGTTGTGACACTGGAGTTAGATCAAAGACTAAAGGTTACTGGTCTGTGTGGAGTATCTGCCTTTCATATTTCTCAGAATTAATTCTATCTGCATGAAACACAAGACCCATAGTCCTCTTTGCTTTGAGGATGCACCAATACCAACTTTCACTTTGCGAAGTAGAAATTTGTGTATGAAATATGTATTTCCTCTGATCAGTGTATTGTTTTGTGTATATCATATGAACGTCTTAATCAATAATTCCCAGTCTTCATAAGTTTCAAATATTTCTAGCCAGGGGATGAATGCAAACTGTGAAATGCAGAAACGAGTTAAATTTACTTCCCACATTAAGATACAAAAAATTTGGGAGCTGCATTTAAAATTTTATCAGCCATTCTTTGTTGTATGTTGACATTGGAAACAAGCCCAAGTTCCAGGTTGGTGAAACATTTTTCAGATTTGTATCTAGAAAGACAAGCATCAGTAGTAATGATCATATGATGATAACATTGTTATGTTGACGTACAAGATTCGATCAGGAAACTGTGGGACTGAAGCACCTAGTTAGTTAGTTATTGGAGAGGGTGGATTTCCCCATGCACTTAGACCAGTATTGGTCCATTGTGCTTCCCTCTATGATATTCTACCAGTCTCTATACCCTACCGATAATGGTGCATACCATCAGTCCCGACTGAACCAGCAAGTTCTCAACTGGCTTGGCGGTATCTATAATGCTTCCCCCATCTATCAGAGGCCTTAGAGACTGCTGTTGGGTGGGAAACGTCCTTGAATTTGGTTCAGTGATCTCCTTTGGAGATATGAGGTTCTTTTATGTGCCGTAAAGCTACGACATGGAACCCACAGCTTAAAGTCCCTCCCGGAGGACTTGTTCCCTGAATTTTTCCACCCTTAAAAATTCGATGACCTCCGCCGGATATTTGAACCCGCATACCACGAGTCATGAGGTGGGAACGTTACCTCTAGACTACGGAGACCACTACTGAAGCACCTAACTCAGCGTAGTTGGTGACTTGTTGACTTTACCCCTTCGACAGAGACTTGGTCATGAGAGGCTGTCATGTTTATTGAATTCATTGTATTTTAAAATTCCTGAAATGACGGATCACTGTTTAGTCTTAAATAATTGTGTGTGAAGTACTGGAAGACAACCTGACACTTTCAGGTCTGATTTAAAAGGAAATTTTAAAAGATTGATAAAATGATTAGTGTTTGCAGTTGTGGGATATGTATGTCCCAGTAGACTTGAAGAGGTTAAACCTGTATTTGAAGATAGCCTGCCAAAAACATCTCTGTGATTCGCACTCTGTAAAGACTGCTGAACTTTCAGGGGAGATGTCATATGTTTCTGTCATTCATTGACACTGCCTAATTAGGAATCAGGTTACTTCCTTTAATGATAAGGTTTGAAGTGGCAGAAGAATGATGGTTCCTGAGGACAGAATCTCTTGCAGCACATTCCAGTATACTGTATGAAGGGAAAGACTTCACTAAGTAAACGATCAAAGCAGGAGTTTGATATGGGAAGATTTAATTCCAAGTAGCTAAACAATGTGAAAGTTAAGGAACAGAATCTGATTCAAATCTGAAATATGAATACTGCTTTGGAAAATTTAAGTCAATATATGCATACCAGTAGGACTTCTGAGAGTATCAAAGCTTCATTTAGAGAGCTTAAGATATTATGAATTAAAACAAGAACCATACACTGATATGTTGGGATTTTGGACTTTATCCATCGTCCTGGTTTTTAAGATAACAAATAAAAACACGGCGTTTCGGAAACTGGATCTGTTTCCGTCCTCAGGTGAAGGAAAACACCTATTCAGTTGGGTCCCTTAGAAAGAGCTAGCCTCAATCACTGGACCACTGGACGTGTTTTTATTTGTTATCTTAAAAACCAGGACGATGGATAAAGTCCAAAATCCCAGCATATCAGTGTGTTATACACCATCGTCAGAATCCTATGGTAACTACAAGAACCATAGTTTGGCAAAGAGTACTCAGAATTAATATAAAAAAAGAAGCTGGTTAAATTGCAGTGTTTGCAGAATCCATGCCTAATGATGGCGAATAATCGTAACAGTGTAAGATATGAAATTACTGTAACTTTCAGGAACAAATACATGAACGACGAATGTATTAGTTTGGAACGTTAAAACCATAAACATTAAGAAATTGTTATAAAAACATAAATTAATTTATGAAGGGCTACAACCCTGGAATTAACTTGAATTTTTAAGTTCTCACAATGATGACAGGAAGAGTTCTGTCTCCTGGGACATAACAGTATATAGACCACTGAATGTGAACTTCCACAGGACTACACAGCTGTGTATCCCAGAAGACAGAATTTTTCTTGATTTAACTTGGTAAAAGATTGGAAAAAAATCTGTGCAGAATCCATGAATGTGTGTAGCCAAGGCTGTCATACCTGAGTGTAGTTTTGATGCAGCTGAATTTACTGTTGAGAATTTAAAAGATAAATTGCCAGCTTTTATGCAATCATCGTTTATTAACGTTTTTACAAGAGCTTGCCATTAGTCTCTATCTTAAGCCAGATACTCTATCCACACCCACCAGCCCTATATCTTTATGCTGTATCCTAATATTATCCTCCCATATATGCCTAGGTTTTCCAAGTGGTCTCTTCCCTTCATATTTTTTCCGATCAAAATTTTGTATTTATTTCTAATATCTCTCATGTATGGTACATATCACACCCATCTAATTGTCCTTGATTTCCTCACTCACATAATATTTGAGGATTTTGAGAAGTGTACAAATTATGGAACTCTCATTATGCATTGGGTTTAGATGTGCAGTTTTCCATCTTCAGAGTAAGCCACTATACTAGACAGAAATAACATGAAAAGTTGAACAGTTCCATCGAGTGTGACTGGTGAAGATTTTTTTTATTTCAATTATTTATGCCCTCGCATGTTTTGGTCTTCAGAGACCGTCATCAGAGGGACACCTTTACATCAATACAGTTGGAAGCTACTATTACAATATATGTTCTGAAAGTTAAAATGTATACGTATAATATTAATAATATGCAATTGGCTATAAAATCTAAAGTCTTTACAACTACAGTGGCTGTTCCAATACATTAAAATATTTATGATTGGTTTGTTAAGACTATTGGAATTTGTAAACCAGGCAGGTTCGTGTCGTCCCTCTTATTAATTCTCTTGACAGAGGCCAAACGTGTACTGCCTTGTCGTTCTCAAGAAGAGGGTTCTTTGATGTTGTCCTCTCTGTGTTTGTGGCATGCTGTGCTCATTCATTCATTCATTTATTTTTCGTTCCATGGATCCACAATACAAGTGAGATATAGGATATGTCCATACAGTGATTATTCTTAAAATTAATAGAGCAAGAACTAAGTACATAAATAAAAAAGTATAAAATACAAAAATTGAAACAAAACATGTAGAATCAAATAGATTCCAGTCATATAAGTTAATTTAATGAAACATGCAGTTTAAATTTAAACAATGTCAGTTTGAACATATCACAGAAATTGCTTAAATGACTAGACTAGAATAATAGAATAATGACTAGAATAATACTAATAAAAGACTGGATGATCAACAGGTGATTCTAGTGAATGCATAATCATTAACTTATAATGACTTATATTGGAAATATTCTTCCACAGAATAAAAATGATGAAGATAAAGAAAACGCTTTAAACAAATTTTGAACTTCTTAGGGTTGAGTGACTCTTCTTTTATATAAGAAGGAAGATTATTATAAATTTTTATGCCCATATAATACACTCCCTTTTGATATACCGTAAAATTTGCTATGGGTTGATAGAAATTTGTAATATGTCTTGTATTTATATTATGTGTTGTACTGTTAGTGTGATGGACCAGAATGAAAGAAATCAAAGACAGAAATAAAATAAAGAAATTTTTTGAGGTGAAAATAAAATTATTGTAAGTTATAAATATGTAAATGTCATGTAATGTATTTCTCGTCTTATACATTGTAATGTTGACATTCAGTGGAAAACATTAATACTTGTTTTGCTTTTAGCAGTCGTATGAGCAGGATGATGATGATCAGTATAATGCTGGGTATGATGTGGGGTCATTTCCCAAAGATTTTGGTTATGGTCCTTTTGATCAGGATGGAGATGGACTTCCAGGGCCACTAGTTGGTGAACAGAAGCCAAGGATTCTTCTTATGGGGCTCAGAAGGTCAGTGAAGAAAACTTGGAACTCTCAATGTACTGTACTGTTTAAAACCTTATTATTGCCAAAATTCTGCCTCTCATTCAAAATTCTTTTTATGTCATGTATATTATCTCTTCATTTTGAGCCACTAGACACATTTGTATTTTATTTTGACTTAGATTTTGGTGTTGAAATTGTGTATTTTTTATAGGTTAACTATCGTGTACAGTTTTTAAGATGTATAGTATTTTTAATAGAACTGTATGCAAGAAAGCAGTATGCAATCCTTTTTTCGTCATAAAATACTTGTCCATATGTATGTGGTGCAATCCAGAAGTTCCCGAAATTTGAATTTTGTGCACAAATGGTTATGAGTACATCGAAATACCGCTAGGTGTCTCCCCACACACCCTTCTTGAATCAGTGTGGCAAACGGCGTCAAGTTGAGTGGTTGGGTTTATTGTTGGTGAAAGTATTTCCATTGTGTTTCCGTGAGTTTGCGGTTTTGCGATGGCTGACCTGAGAGAGCAGCGTGTTTGTATAAAGTTTTGTTTTAAACTTGGGAAAACCTCTGCAGAAACGTACAAAATGTTGAAGCAAGTTTTGGTGACAACAGTTTAGGCCAGCCACAAACTTACGACTGGTATAAACATTTCAAAAATGGCCGAACATTGACTGATGATGACGATCGTTCGGGACAGCCGTCAGCTGGCACCACACCAGACCATGTCACAAAATTTAGGGATCTGATTATGCAAGATCATAGACTGACCCTCCAAGACCTCTGTAACACCTTGGGACTAAGTTATGCTACATGTCAACAAATTTGTCAGAGGAACTGAACATGAGAATTGCAGCGAAGTTTGTGCCACGACTGCTGCAAAATGAACAGAAGTAGCATCGCTTGGAAGTCTGCAGGGAACTTCAACAACAGCTTCAAGAGGATCCAAACTTTCTGTCTAAGGTGATGAAAGTTGGGTTTATGACTGCAACCCTGAAAGTAAGCAGTAAGCAGCAATCATCACAATGGAAGAGCCCTTCTTCACCTTGACCAGGCAAAAAAAGCTCAACAAGTCAAGAGCAACATTAAGTCCATGTTAATCTGTTTTTTTTTTTATATTGATGGGATTGTCCATAAGGAGTTCATCCCTCCTGGTCAGACAGTCAATAAAGAGTTCTAGCGCGATGTTCTAAGGCGTTTAAGGGAGGACATGAGGAGAAAACGTCCAGAGAAGTGGCGCACGAACGACTGGGTACTCCACCGTGGCAACGTACGACCACATACGGCTTACATTGTGCAGGAATATTTGGCTAAAAACAAGATGGCAGTTGTTCCCCACCCACTGTACTTGCCAGACTTAGCTCCATGCGACTTCTTTCTCTTTAAAAACAAGATGGCAGTTGTTCCCCACCCACCATACTCGCCAGACTTAGCTCTGTGCAACTTCTTTCTCTTCCCCAAGATGAAAATCAAGTTGAAGAGGCGAAGATTTGATACAGTTGAGGAAATTCAAGTGGAAATGCAGACAGTACTAAACACCTTAACAAAGAAAGACTTCCTGGATGCATTTCAAAAGTGGCAGAAACGCTGGGATCGGTGTATGCGCTCCCAAGCGGACTACTTTGAAGGTGATGGTGCAGAATAAGATCCAGGTAAGATATAATAGTTTTTATTAATATATTTTGGGAACTTTTGGATTGCACCGCGTAAGTAGTACTGTTTCTAGATGATTGAAACTTCCTGATAATGTGTACTGGAAATTGGAGAGAGCAGATTTAAACTTTGATGCCAGAGAAAACTTAAATAAAATTAATTTAACATAGTCTTGATTGTAGAGGAATTATGTACGTCAGTCATTGAAGAAGGGGAAACTGTAAAGTGAGTAATGTAAATGGTGATGCTACTGTATTGTTTAAGTGTGCATGCCACTGATGACGTTTTTCTTTGTAATTTATGTAGAAGTGGTAAATCTTCAATCCAGAAAGTGGTGTTCCATAAAATGTCACCAAATGAAACATTGTTCTTGGAAAGCACCAATAAAATCATAAAAGATGACATCTCCAACTCTAGTTTTGTCCAGTTCCAGATATGGGATTTTCCAGGACAGATTGATTTCTTTGATCCTACGTTTGATTCTGATATGATATTTGGAGGCTGTGGAGCCTTAGTTTTTGTCATCGACGCTCAGGTAGATACACATCGATTGATTACAGACAGTAATTATTAATTTAGTAATTCAAATGGATAAGATATATTCCAGAGAATACCTGACTGGTGTCTGTGATAGGTAAATGGAATGTAGGGTAGTAAGGATATTAGTTCAATTTGCTTGTGTTTAATTTCAGGACGATTATACGGATGCATTAAATAAACTTCACCTCACAGTAACAAAAGCTTTCAAGGTTAACCAGGGTATTAGATTTGAAGTATTTATCCACAAGGTGGATGGTCTTTCAGATGATTACAAGATGGAAACTCAAAGGGATATTCATCAGCGAGCCAATGATGATCTGGCAGACTCCAGTGAGTAGTGATCTGTCCAGTAATGATAAGACAGTGTATGCGGTGTTGATACTTTTACCCATTAATATTTACAATATTTGAAGACATATTGCTTAGATGAAATTAAAAAGGTTTGAAAAGTTAATGAAATGCCATATGGCATACAAATATAGCTCAGCAGTAGTAAACAAAGCAAAATGTAGGGAAGCTTTACTGCTGTTTGTGCATCTGAGAAGTATGCATGGAAAACATATGGAGCATTTGACTCTTGCCTAGAATCTCATGCTAACTCAACTTTTAGTGGAAGGAACTTTCACCAGTGAGAGGCGTGACACCTGCTTCCACAAATGGCATGCTGGCCCATGTTAAGCAGATATTTATATTTATAAATATGCTAAATATAAATATGAGTATTGGCAGAAAAATTAAAATTCCCTTAGTGGGGGGTGGAGTCCAACTGGTTCCACTTGGCATGACGGCCACTGATTGGCCTATTGTAGCCTGCCCCAGGTGGTTATGATGATGGAGGATGTGGTGGAATGAAGATTGGCAGGGGAAACCAAAGTACTTGGAGAAAACCCACCCCAGCTCCACTTTGTCCATCACAAATCCCACTTGACCAGATCCAGGATTGAACACAGTCCTCCACGGTGGGAAGCCAGTGACTAACCGCTTCAGCTATGGCACTGCCTTATTGGTAGTATGTAATGATAAATGTGTTTTATTTGTTAGTCTCTTTTATAAATAGTCATGAATCCGAAAAATGTCTCTGCAGTTTCTGTGTTAAGGGATACCCACTTCTGTTGTATCCAACCTACCCTGCCTTTTCAAGTTGTTTGCTTCATTTTTCAGAAATGTGGGTAGAACTTTATAGTTTACTCTGCAGTAGTCTACAGCAAGTGTTCTCAGATCAGAATTTTGATGGTTGTAATCAGTTTTAAGTAACATTTTGTTGTTAGTATGTCAGTTTATATAGGGTGCTTACTGTGGTCGTAAAAGAGATATCGAGGAATTTTATTTATTTATGGTATGCAGACACAAAGGAATCCAAAATTTGAATGAAGCAAAACAAATATATGCTGATGTGCACTGTATTTCTGTAACTTTTTAAACTGTTAACAATGGCTGCTCTTTGTTATTATAGAGTAATAGTGAGAATGTTCTACTTAAAGAGAAACTCTTTACCAACAAAGTAATGTGAAGATATATCAGGTTACAGTTTAGTAACAGAGTTAAGAAGCTGGTAATTGTGTAAATATAAACAGGACTGCACGTTCTTCAGACATTCTCCTTCATTGCAGCCATTAAATTGTTCAGGCATTATGGGGATAAGTTTTGGCGTCAAGTTTTGTGTTTGTTAATAAGTAATAGGGCCGTAATATGTTAAGGACATTTTAAACCTCCTTGCATTGGATTTTGTTTGTATTCATTGAAATAACTGGTAGCTATGCTTTGAGAAATAGTGATCTGTAGTGTATAAAGTTAACTCTCTTATGATTTGGAGCATTAGCTTTATATAGTTTAGTAGATTGATACCAGTATATTTCTTCCTTGTTCAGCATTTTTATGCTCGTATTTATATGGAGCAGGTTCAAAAAGTAAAGTAACAACATTCTTTTGTACCATGTGTTTCATTCAGCAACATTGAATGTGCTTATGATTGAAGCTGCATATATAATGTACAGAACTATTAGGTTTATTTTGGACTCTATCCATCGTTTGGTATATATAAGACAAAAAACCGCAACGTTTCGGAAACTGAATCTGTCTCCGTCCTCAGGTGGATGGGGCTGGATAGACCTACTCAGTTGGGCCCGTTAGAAAGAGCTAGTCTCAATCACTGGACAAACTCTGAAACGTGGTTTTTTGTCTTATCTGAGGGTTGGAACTTTAATAGTGGCAACTATTTATTTACAATTGATGCAAAATAGATGCATGTTTTGAAGTTTTACTGTCCTTCAATGTAGTCGCCAGCATTGTGTACAACCCATTGCCAGCGATGTGGAAGTTGTAGGATACCTTTAGCAGCGCTTGTTCTGTTGATAGTTCGAATGGAGTGGTCTACTGCCGGAAGAATCTCTGGAACAGTTCTGAAGCAAATGCCACGAAGTGGTTCCGTCATCTTAGGAATCAAGTCGAAGTCACAAAGGCTCAAGTAATGGGGAGTATGGTGGATGGTACAGCACTTTCCAGCCCCATCGATCAAACAAATCAGCCACATCTTGCTATTCCTGCATTTCCGTCCCAGTAGGGTCAGAATTTTCTCTTCTCCATGGTGTCCAGTCTGACTCTGGGGCACACCCAGCCTCCTATCCAGTGTGTACCAGGGGCTCTTTCAATGGGGGTGAAGCAGCAGGGGCATGAAGCTGTTTACTCACCTCCAGCTAATACCGAGCTCAAGATAATGTGGATCTCTACAACCACTCCCCCAATACACCTTCATGGCATAGTGCTTAGTTAGTTAAGCACAGGGAGAACTTTGCCTTTTTTACGTTACTTTTCAGACCTTGTTCATGTTATGCTCACCATGTCACAAGAAACACAATTAATTTCCATTTCCTATTTCAGGTTGTGACCAAATTCACTTAAGCTTCCACTTAACATCAATATATGACCATAGTATCTTTGAAGCATTCAGTAAAGTGGTGCAGAAGTTGATTCCTCAGTTACCAACGCTAGAGAACCTGCTCAATATTCTAATATCGGTAAGGTAATTTATTGAGAGAACTAGATTTGTAAGTAAGTGCAATACAATGCACACAGTCACAAGGGAAGGACACAACACAGGACACAATATACACAAGAATATAGGAAGAGTACTCCCATAGGAGACAATTGATGTAACTCGCGAATTTGCAGTGTGACGTATAGATGATAAATCTTGAAAAGTTTTAATATATAAACTTTATTATTATACATGACATATATACATTTTAATCATTTTATAAAAGAGACATGATGGCATACAGTGCAATGGTTTGACATAAATAAAACCACACCTGAAGATGGCACATTAGTGCCGAAACATGTAGTGAAGAGAAAGGTGAAATTGGGTGCACTGTAAGAGGGTTGATACAAATACACATCATAAGTAAGTGTTATGTAATTAGTCCAACAAGTCACCACCAGATTGTGAGAATGTAGTCCAGATGAAGACAGTGATTTAGCGGTTTACCCTCTGCTTCATATTCAGGCAGTCTCAGGTTTGGCTGGCTAATTGGATTAAGGTTTTCCATGGTTTTCTGCTGTCTCATTACAAGTGCTGCGAGAGGACCATTAACTGTGTTACAAACTCTTCATCCACATTCTTCTAAATTCATCATTTAGAATCATCATCCTACTCAGAACAGATTTCAACTTTAATCTTCATTGTTTCTCTTAAACAGTAATGTGGATTGGTGTAATTTTTGCAGTGGGTTCATATGTCCCTCTACGTGTTAAACATACATGGATATAGGTTGACTGTAATTATTTTTTATAAAAGTTAGAAAGTGATACATATACTTGTATTATTAGCAATAAAAAAACTTATATGTTTGAATGTTTATAGTAAAAATGTGGGAATTGTAATTTTTTGTTAATGGTAAGAAATTGGCAGTTTTAGTATTTTATAAAAGACAAGTAGAAATTTATACTTCCTGCATTATGGTTTACAAGTAACAAGATGTATATTTTGCAGTTCATTTTAAAATAATTATCTTTCTGGTAGCAAAATCCAAATATTCATCACTGCCAATGCTATTGGATATGAGGTTCAGCTCACCACTGACTGTCACAGTCTCTTCTCTGAGATCATGGACTCTTTGTGTTTTCATGTTGGTCTTATCCTCCCACATTTTTTGAAGTGATCTTTTTCCAGGAGACTTTTCCACTGGAATTCTATATGCATTCTTTACTTCTCAAATCTTGGCCTTGTGCACTGCCCATCATACCCTCCTCAGTAACCCAATCCTAAAAATAACAGGTTTCCTGCATAATTAACGTTTCTTCTTCTTATGTAATACTATCCTAACTTGCTCACCTACTTCACCATGTTAGGCACAGACACTCTTGAGCTCTTGTAACTGTTGTTTTGCCTTTAAGGTAAAGAATTGTGTTGAAGATCAGACAAAGGAGGTAAACATGTTTTTTACTCTAAAGGTATTCAAGTAGATTTTTGGTCCCTTTATGATTCTCAGTTATTTGAGCAGCTTGTCCCTCCACTTTTGCAAAGGACATGGAATCAGGCTACTGGGGCTTATTATGAGGGAAGATGCCCATGTAAGTCTGGAGGGCCATAAGAAAATCCTAAAAATACCTCTGTCATGATAGTCAGTTTCTGAACTAGGATTTAAACTCAGGAACTCCCAAATACAAGCCATTACACTGCGGTGTTCATCATAGTCCTCAGTTGAGAGTAACGTAAAGCATTACATGTTACTAAGTTCATGTATATTGTGTGATGAAATAGTCCATTGCTAGACAACACGTGGTTAAAACACATTTCTGGGACAACCCGCTGGAACAATCAATTGCTGAGCAACACTCGGTAAACATTGCATAAAAGCCAGAATAATTGAGACCAGTCCGAGATTCAGGCAGCTGAGAGATTCTTCAGACGATGTTCAGCAGACAGGCATTCAGAAAGAATTCAATGTGTGAGCTGTTATAATTGATTGTAATAGTAAAGACGTGCCAATAAATCCAATCATCAAATCTAGAACCCATTATTACTAGTCATGCAACCCTATATACGTGACAATATGTAAGTAATCTGATTTATTTTGTGATTTCAGAATTCAGCTATAGAAAAGGCATTTTTATTTGATGTGGTGTCAAAAATCTACATTGCAACAGACTCATCACCCGTTGATATGCAGAGTTATGAATTGTGCTGTGACATGATTGATGTAGTAATAGATGTCTCATGTATATATGGGTATGTTTTTAGCAAATTTTCTTGTAAGTTATCACAGAGCTCCATAAATGAGAATACTTATGCCCTAGCATAAAAGTGAGCATATCAGAAACTAGTTAACTGACATTCATAGCAGAGCCCAGAGGTTCAAATTCACGAATATCAAAGCATGTCATTGGAAATGATCCCAGTCCAATTCCAACCTCATGCCCCACCATCTTAAAATCTGTCTTTATGTCTTCCAAATGAGAAATGTCTTAAATCTAGAATGCAACAGTATGGTTTGTGTGTCCATGTTATTCAACATCCGCATGAATCTGTAGCCTTGCAAGTAATGGGATTAGCAGTTAGCGTCAGGTAGTTTCCATCTAGAATAAAGAAACAAAAATCTCTTCTTGTAATATGTATCATTCTCTTTCTCGTTTTACAGTCTACAGGATGACACAGAGGCAGCAGCGTTTGACTTTCAGAGTTCTAGTCTGATTAAACTGAACAATGGCACCATATTGTATCTTAGGGAAGTAAACAAGTTCTTAGCATTAGTTTGCATTCTCCGAGAAGACAATTTCGACAGGCAAGGTAAGGTCTTAGATATATGCTCTTAATTATTATATCTGAATTTGTGAATGTAGTAACCAACTTCTTGGAAGTTGCCAATTGTGCAGCTACTCAAGAATTAATGTACTGTCACATTGTACTCCCATTTTTTCTCCAGTATCTGACAAATGCAAGAGATCTCATCAATAGTTGATCTGTTATGTCAAAAACCACACTGATGATCACCAATAATTTCATTTTTATATGGACTTAACCTTGAGAGAAGGATATTGGATAAAATTTTGCATGAAGTTGATAGCAGTGATATCTCACAATAATTACCACAGTCAGGTTGATCGCCCTTCTTGTGAATTGGTACAATAATAGACTTCTTCCACAGATCAGGCAATTTTTCCTTATTCCAAATAGAATTAATGAGTTTATGGATCTCATACCGTAATGTTTTTCTTCCTGCTTGAATCAGTTCTGCCAGAATTTGATGCCTACCTGGCGATTTATAACTTTTCAACTTTGCAACAGCAATTTCAACCTCAAAAGGACTTGGATTAGGTACTAACAGCTTAGCTGTATGTATTTCTCTCTACCTAACATCACTGACCTATGTACATTCAATAACTGGGGGTTCTTCTTCCGCCTATTAAAAATATTGTGGGAACCTGCAAGCAGATCACCATTCTCACCCTTTACTAAGTTACTGCTGGGTTTGTAACCCCTCTTAAATTTCCTCTATTTATGTTGTTGTTCTTACTGTTGGTTGCAAGTTCATTAATTTTTTCTTTCAGATATTCCCACTTTTATTCCTGAAATGCTTGCTAGCTTCACATTTTATGCTGTTCAGATTGTTGCCATATATTTCACTTGCAACCTGTAACAACTGCAATTTCACTCATTTAGTAATTCACATTATCCTTTGTTGAATCATGGTATGCTTATTCAGTTCATAATAACTTAGACTGTGTTTGGCTGAAATTTTTGTATTCTCTGTAATAGTTTCCCAATTTTGGAACCAAGTGACTTTTATGATGTTCCCGTAAATAAAGTCCTATATTTCATTTGAAGTGTAGGATTAATAAAGTGTTAATCCAAAGGGGAAGCACAATAGATCATTGAAGGTCACAGTGCAAAAGGCCGGATCTTATGGCCCACCCCTTACACATGCTACCACTACTAATAATTTCCCAGGCTCTGTTAATATCCACCTCAGTGTCTAAGTTTTCCAAAGCTACAAACCTGTTTGAGATTTCAGCACAGTACTGCTCTTGATATTCTTCCTGTTAGGTTTTATTCTAGCTTTGCCATTTTAAAATCTCTCTGGGAGTTTAAGGTGTATGCTAAATGCTGGGATCATCAGAAAGGGAAGGAAGACAGTTGTAGAAATTTGTAGTCAAGTAAAATAATCAGAAAAGACTGTTGTGACGCAGAATGCATCCATTCTGTAAATGAATAGATGAGAGCATTTTGTTGAACTTTAAATCTTTTTTGCAGTTGTGTTTTGATTGCATGTGAATATTTCACAGGTATTGGTATTAAATTTGTCAAGAAAATGCATCATAAACGTTTATGTAGTATAGTAGTGCGCAAAGGCTTGCAATTCTTTCTTTATCTCTTCCTCATGCAGAAGTTAATGTTGTTAGTAATTAGAGAGAGGACCATGGAAGTGAGAAGTACCAATTCTTCAGTTACCATTTTAGTCACTACCTTTACCCCCCAAAAAAGAATTCCATTGTTTGTAGTATGTATTCATAAAATCATGATTTAATATATGAACTAGGTAAAGACCTTTGTGATGGTGTTCTGTTTGCTGCCAGTTGAAGAAAAAGACAAGTTAAATATTTTTGACAAAGTTTATTTTCTATAAGCAAGCTTTGCCAAAAATATTTCATCTGGGTAGGAGGAACATATACATTGTTATTTTTTTAAGTTGAGTGTTTTAGTATAAATGGAGTTGTTCCACAATTTTCAGCGTTTTTGAGGTAAGGTACTTTGGCAGAATTTGTTTATAACAATTCCCTGTTGAAATTTCAGTGGGATTAATGCTTGTGTCTATTAAATAAGAAAATACGAGGGTAAGTCAGTAAGTAAGTTACAAATGGATATAGAACTTAAGCAAGGAAGAGTCTGATTTGAAAAATGCTTTGGTTTTTCAACATAATCTTCCTGTACATTGAGGCACTTGTCCCATCGTTTCATGAGCCCCTGAAAACCAGCAGCATAAAATTCTTTGGGTGACTTCCCTATCTACAGCTTCATCATCGGGAAAATGTTCAGCTGAAAGATGATATTTAAGAGGGCCGAACAAATGAAAGTCACTTGGAGCAAGGTCGGGGCTATATGGAGGATGCTTGAGGACCTCCCACTTGAAATTTTGCAGTGTTGGTCTTGTTGGCAGTATGGGGATGCGCGTTGTCATGCAAGAGCAACACGCCTTTGGTGAGGAGTCCTGGTAGCTTCTGTTGAAAGGTCTTATGAAGTTTCCTGAGGATGTTACAATAGGAGTCGGCATTTACGGTTTGTCCTTGAGGTTGGAATGCGGTGAGCAGTATGCCTTTGTGATCCCAGTCACCGCCTGGTTCCGACATCAGCCCGAAGAATTTTATGCTGCTGGTTTTCAGGGGCTTGTGAAACGATGGGACAAGTGCCTCAGAGTACAGGGAAATTATGTTGAGAAATAAAAGCATTTTTCAAATCAGTGCTCCTATTTGGGTAAGTTCTATATCCATTTGTAACTTACTTGCTGACTTACCTACATATCTCATGATGTGTGGTGTGCTTTTTGTAAGATGCTTAAAAGCCTGAAAGAAATGCAAACATGATCTTGTATATTGGAAGGGAAGAATATATTGTATATCTGTAGCATTGCTGTTTAGTTTTATATGTAAAAATGCAATTGCCTTCATTACTTTACTCTGTTCCATCTCTCTGTAAGAAAAAAACAGCTTTGAGGGGTTTGGTACTGCAGTTGCTTTTCAGCTGATGCATTTTTAATTTTGTGGTGGAAAAGTTGTAACTTCCTGTCTCTTGTAACTTAGTGACTTTGAGACTCTATAAATCATGAAACGGAAATCTTAGTATGACTTTTATCAACAGTAAAGATTTGTATGTTCAGTTCACTGTTTCATAAGATTCAGGAAATAACCAGAAGTGATTACATAAACCCACATCACATTTGGCAAACAAAATTAAATGCAAACAAATGCAAAGCATTTTTTTAGTGTTTAAAAGATGTCACGATAATGTGCAGGTTTTACATCTGTTTCAGATTTTAATTCTCTCATATGAAGTTGTGCCTTGTGTTATATTCATTCAAATTTTGTGCTGCTGTCGACATGTTTTGGTAGATTATTTTATTATTTTTGAACTTATAGTTGCAAACAACAAAGAAATTTTAAACGTGCCATAATTCAGGCAGTGAATCACTGGCTTTCCACCATGGTAGCCCCGGTCTGATCCTAGGTCAGATCATGTGGGATTTGTGGTGGACAGAGGGGAATTGGAATAGGTTTTCCTTGTCAGTTTTCATTCCACAGACTGTTCCATATTCATTAATTATCCTGTCATCAGCATAATAGTCTTGATACAGACAGACAGCATCATTAAATAACCAACTCTAAAAATCAAGCAGTTTTGAATTGTAAGAAATACCGTATTTCAGGGAATGCTTGCTGCAGTTTAATTCAGATCTTATTTAATCTTCTTTCAAAAAATCAGAAAATTGAAATGTTGTGTTTTCTTTTGTATGGATGTGAAATATATTCTTTCGCCATAAGGAAAGAATAGGCAGATTGTGTTTGAAAAAACTGCAGAGGAGAGTGCTTATACCTGAGGGAAATGAAGTAACAAGATAAAAAATTCATAATTTATAGCCATCATTAAATATTGGTAGGGTCAGTAAATCAAGATGAGATTGATTGGCCACATAGCATACATGGGGTTACTAAAAAAGCACACAAAACTTTAGGTGGAAAACCTGGAGGGAAGAATCACTTGGGGGAACCAAGACGAAAATGGAAAGATGATATTAAAATTAATCCTAAATAAGTAAGGTGCGAGGGTGTGGACTACATTGATTTGGCTGAAGGTGTCATCCAGTGGTGAGCTCTTACGAACATAGTATTGAACCTTTGACTACCATAAATTGAAGAAATTTCTTGACCAGCTGGGTGGCTGTCAGTTCCTTAAAAAGGGACTCTACTCCATAAAGTTACTTATGAATTGCCATTCATTGTGTTTGTATATTTATCGTTTGTTGACAAACTTAACATATGCACTTCCGCCCGATTTCATACCTCCCTAAGTCAGAAGACTGTTTTAATCATAATATTATTGATTTGGAGTTTTAGTGTTCACGTGTATGTAATTACTGAGAAGTTATGGATACACCTGCAACCACTTATCTGTTTGTGACATGTACAGTTAGGGGTACTCTGTTAGGACTAATATAATCAAATGAAGGGGATTATAGCAGGATTTTTGGAATTATAGTAAAACTGTAAGAGTTTGATTGATTGGTATTCAAGAAAACATTTTTCTTTAATCTTTGTTGTAGGTATCATCGATTACAACTTCTTGTGCTTTCGTGAAGCTATTCAACAAGTTTTTGAACTTCGTAATAAGAGTCAGGTATATGTAGCCCTCACCACAAACCATCATTCGAACGTTTTAAGTAATCAGAATACAACTGTGAACTCAGAGACACAGAACACAGCATTAAACTCTGCAGCTGTTCAGAGGTGAAGGTACAAGGATGAACCATGTGTACTGTTAAAATAGCTAAACTGTGCAAGTGGATGTCAGTTACTGACTTCATGGGGGATATTTCCATGTACAAGTTTAAGTGGAAGTTGTTGAATGAGATATGTTGTAATGTTTTAATTTAATGTCAGATTTCATGAAAGATTTATGTTTTTGATATAGTTGATAAATGAAAGATTGTAATGGTGCAGAAACCGTTTCAGTAATTTGAAATTGAAACATATTTATACTGGTATATACTTTCAGTTTCTTTCAGCTGTTATTCAAATTATACAAAAATTCCACTAAAATAGTATAATTTGCATTTCAGGAAGGAAAATACTGACATTTATATCTATTAACATATTTTCCATGTGGGAAATTTCCTTGCGTAGTTTTGGGCTTCCAGAACCATTATATTCTGATATTTGGAACTTCATTTTTCAATGAAGCTTTCATTTTTTCGAAGCATCTGACTGACTATGCTTGGGAGGTGAAATTTTGAATATTAAGTTCCTATTGTAAAAGATATCCAGAAGAGAATGCACATGTATTGCACATAAATTAATATTTTATTCAGAGTAATCTGGTAGCTTGCAAGTGTAAGATATACAATAAAACCTGCACATACAAAAATGAAATTCAGAAACCAAGATTTGGTCCCACATGTCAGAGGTTGTAGCCCATGTGAATGTATAACCTCTTGTCATGCAGGAACCAGTTTTCTTCATTACAGAGAAGCCCATAATATCAACATTTTGCTCTATGCAGAAATTCTAAAGCCATTTCTTGTACATTCTCGGTATTATGATCTGGACATTTCCCACAATCTTGTATCAAATTGTTTTGGAAACACTGTTCACTGTGACATAATCCCTGTAGAACTAGCTTCCTGATGTAGTGTTAAGTTTGGTCTCCCTGGTATCTGTTCCATAAGCCAGCCTTGGTTAAACTATTTTGCAATAATCTGTAATATAATTATTAAATTTGTCAGTTGTCACCATCTTGCCGAACACATTATCAAGACAGTAACATTCATTACAAAGTGCTTTAATGTGAGATGTTTGTATTAAGCTTTTCATATCTATTATATAGTTTTTGTTAAAATTGTTTAATTAAAAATTCTTTCTTAATCAGTTCTTGGTATAGTGGTGAAGCAGTAACACATTGTTGTTCCTCAAGACAGTCACAATGTTGCTATAAATAATTTGGAATTGTGCCCATATATCACACAGATTCTGTTTTATGGATGGGGTTCATAAAGATCTTTTAAGTTACTTCTGTGTGTATGTGTGCACGCATATGTGCATGTAAGATTCTCTAATACCAATTTAGTATCATAGTGAGGAATGTTGCTTGGCCAGTCAGTCAGAAAATAAGAAATGACTCTGGTGGAAGAAAGGGAAATTTCATTGGATGTTTTGGAATCAAATCAAAACTAATAAGTTTCTTTTGAAGCGTGTCATGCCTGCAGTTACGCAGAATTATTCAGTGAAGGGAACGTGCATTGATTACTATTTTTTTAACAGAGCAGACAGAAGAGAACATGATTTACTAGTAATACTAAAAGGTAGCACATGCAGTTTTGTATGTATATACAGTATGCATTGTTTTCTACGATCTTTGGCCTCCTTTACAACAGATGCCCATTTTTTGTATTATTTGCTTCTTGCCTCCATCCCATCATATTTTACTTTCATAAATGACTGTCTGCATCTTCCAACCATATAAATCCCATAAATCTAGGCATTCTCACTTTTCTTATGCCTTCTGGATTGCTTTCATAAGTTTTCTTAGCCATCCTTTTTTGATCCACTCTGATCACATGCTCCAACTTTCTCCTTTTAATACCTGGTACCAGATCAGGGCTGATATATAATTGCCTTGGGTCTTTACTTATTGTGAATTTCCAACCCCCTTGATCAGTTACAGGTCCATTCAACCCTCGTCAGAATTTTCCCCTCCCATGTATTGAACAAACATCCTTTTCAGTCATGGATTGCATACATCACAACTGGTTTTAACGTTGTTTCATAAATTTTAATTCTCGATACTCTGCTCACAGTTCTAGACTTCAAAATCTCACAGAATTACTGGGTTTTTGGACTTTTCCCCTCATCCGGAATTCTAGGTAATGGAAGGTACGACGTTTCAGAAACTGGATCTATTTCTGTCTTCAGGAGAGGAAGGAAGACACCTACTCACTTAGGCCCCTTAGAAAGAGCTAATCTCAATCACTGGACAACTCTTGTCAGATTTACCAAGCTATTGTGAAGACATGTAATATCTACCAGTAGTGCCATCTGTCTTCACAATTTTTCCCATTTCTTCGCATTGGTGCTCATGCACTTGAATTTTTGTCAGCTAGGTTTCTAACAAATTTCTACCTCCTTTTCTATCCTAGTTCCACGCATGAGCGTGCTCTATCACAAGTTTTATTTTATGGTTTCTTATTATCTCCCACTGAACTAGCAGAGTCTTATATGTTGAAATAGCTGGGTAAATCTGACAGGAGTTGTCCAGTGATTGAGATTAGCTCTTTCTAAGGGGCCCAGCTGAGTAGATGTCTTCCTTCCTCACCTGAAGACGGAAACAGATCCAGTTTCCAAAACATTGTGTCTTCTATTACCTAGAATTCCGGATGATGGAAAAAGTCCAAAACCCCAGTCATTCTGTGTGCCATCCACCATCATCAGAACCCTTTAGAATCTACTTAAGAATCTGTTTCACACCGTAACAGCATTGATTTCCTGCCGCAATTCTTACCTTGACTCCTTCAGTAAATTCATTTTGCCCTGTTATCAGAGCATCCAAATATTTGAAGATTCTAGCCTCAAAAGCTCGACTGGCGACATCCTGTCTGAAATTAGGTAAGTTCCTGATTACCCCCATGTACTTGGTTTTATTTTAATTCACTTCTAGTCTGGTCTCTAATGCTTCCCTCTCCAACTGTAGTAATACTCACTCTTCACTTTCACTGATCGTTTGGGTATCACCATGTCATTGTCATCTCCTCATCCCCTCACCCTTCTCCTTCTCTTCCTACTACTACTACTGCTGCTGCTGCTACTGCTACTGCTACTACAAACCATTGCAGCCCAAGATTTCCTGTTTTCCAGGTTTTGTAAGATACGTTGGATGGGCAACCCACCTATCTCAAGGCTTCTACCTATGCAGGACAATACAGAGAAAGAACACATATGTACACCCATTTCCAAAATGGAATTTGAGTCTTCCATGCCAATGTTCCAGTGGTGTAAGACACATGCCTTAGACCAGTGTTTGTCATCTGCTGAGCCGTGGCCCAGTACCGGGACCTGGCATCAATTATACTGAGCCCTCGTCTTATAGAAAAAATTTACTGGTCCACATTCTGACATTCTGACAAAAGTTGTGAACCCCTGCCTTAGACCATGTGGTACTGTGATTAGCCCATCATGTTATATGCAGTCACTGGATATGGGCTCTTGAAAACAGTTCCACTGGGTCAGTTTTACTATTTCTTATTGCTTTCTCCAAATAAATATTAAATTGAATTGTTCACAAAAGCATGCCGCCCTTGTCTGAGTCCTCAGAAATTCTTCGCGGTTGCCCTTGAATTTTAATCTTGCAGTTTGAGTCTGTAAGGGCCATTCTCACTAGATTAACCAATTTCTTAAGGATCCTGAATTCCCTCAAAATTTCATATTGACATTTTCTGTCCAATATATCAACTTGTTTAAAATCGATTAATAAATTAAAAAGAATACCAGTCTCTATACAAACATATGATCAGCAGTTGCATGTCCCATTGTAAAATGACACTGCTACATCCCTAAAATCTCTTCTGTATATGGAACCAATCATTTATGTAAAGTATTAGCCAGAATTTTACAACATATATTTATTGATGATTTTTCCCTATAGTTACTACATTCTAATTTATCAGCTTTATTGTAAATTGAGAGTATTGCTGTGTTGTGATATTCTCTTGGTGTAATTTCGCTTATCCAAATTATTTCTGTTAATGCCTGCATCTCCTTCCAGAATCCCAGTCTTCCATACTTCATTAAATCAGCACAGATATTATCATCTTGCTTTATAATTTGTTAGATCCCTTATAGCCTCAAAAACTTCTTACTTTGTCATTACTAGTGTATACTGTCATGTGTTTAGTGGCTGGACTCGAGGTTTGGATTGATAATTTGGATTTATTGGACCCTTGTAGCTCATAATGACAGGTAACTATAGCTCTGAACATGGGGTTTGGATTGATAATTTGGATTTATTGGACCATTATAACTTGTAATGGCAGGTAACTGTAGCTCTGAACATGGGATTTGGATTGTTAATTTGGTTTTATTTTACCCTTGTATCTCGTAATTACAGGTTACTATAGCTGTGTCGCTAATTCACACACTGTACAATTTGCAACAGCACCCACGAAGTTTTCTCTGGCTTCATTAGGCATAGGCTGGTAACGGCTCCCAACATAATAGGTACTTTATGACTGGTGGTTTACCACCAATCAGTTTGTCTTGGCTCCAAGCCCCTTGAGACTCACAACCGGAGATATTTCTTTCCAACTGAACCCTTGCAGTCATAGTCCTTATGTAACATCCTCTCTGATGATAAGATGGGTTCGTCTGTTATGAATATGCTTGGCCCTTCATCGGGTGTATGTATTGCACATACAGTATGTTATTGAAAATTCTTCCTTCTAGTTTCAGTGCCAGGTATATAGCCTCAGCACGAACTGCATAGAAAACACTGCCTTGAGTGGCTCTTCTGTTGTTGCATACATATCTCTTGTCACTAACGCTTCTTTACCGAGCTGATCCCTAACAACGGCCATCTCTTCTGGATCCGCTGTTATGGCTTACAGTGGAGATATCACTGTGTAATGCACCTTATTGGTATACCATTTCCTTCTCCATCTGTGTTTCACTGTTACTATTGGGTTCCAAAAATTGCTGCCTCCATTTCTGTTACTTTCACCAATGTTAATATCATCTTGATGCTTGCATATAGATGAAAACCAGCTTTTATACAGTAACCTCCCAGGTATCTAGCACAAAAGAGGAATGGGATCCTCATGTTACATGAGTGCGTCATTTGTGTGAGAAAACTCTTTCAGAAACGTAGTATAAACTTAAAAAAAAAATGTTTTTGCTTTAATTCATGCATGGG